GAGAGAGAGAGAGAGAGAGAGAGAGAGAGAGAGAAAATTGCAATCCTCATTAATGGTAGAATAATTTGCTCTTATTTGAGCTTTTATGTGTTACGACATGGTATCAGTGAGTGTCATATGTGGAGGACACTGTTTGGGGAACAGCCATGAACAGCAACAGCATAACATCAAGTACAATGCAGAGACCTGTGAAGATTGCCACCTAATGAGAGGAGACAGATACTGTTATAATCCAGCATGACAGATATGGTGCATCCCACTTTCCTGATTCTGGAATCCACATTTTCCTTGTGTGTGTGTATGGGGTGGGGGAAGAGGCACACATGCCAGTGTGGCTTGAACTGAGAGCCTTTTTTGCCTAAGGCTGGTGCTCTACCACTTGAGCCATACCTCCCTTCTTGGCTTTTTGGTAGTTAATTGGAGATATAAAGTCTCAAGGACTTTCCTGCCTGGATGGCTTTGAACTCCAGTCCTCAGATCTCAGACTCCTGAGTAGCTAGGATTACAGATGTGAACTAATGGCATCCAATTCATTTTCACATTTCTGAAATTGAGTCTGGCTTCCACAGTGTCATCCATCATTGTCCCTGTATAAAATAACAACACATCTTTATTCTTTCTAAGAGCCGTAAAATAAATGGCATGTTAGAGTTGATAGACTATAATAACATAGGCATGCACAGGAAACAGAGAAAGGCATACTTATCTTGGTTGGTGAAAAGACAGAAGGAAGGGTATTTGTGTGTGTGTGTGCACGCACACACACACACACACATACACACAGGTAAACATAAAGGCTTCACTGAGCTAACTAGAACTGAATGTTCAAGAACAAGTCAAAATTTACCAAGCTGAAAGGGATAAGACAAGTCTCTGTGTGTGTTGGCAGTGGGGGTGGGGGGGATTACAGTAGAGGAGAGGGTATCATTTTAGAAGTATTTGGTATAAAGCTACATCTGCAATGAGGCAATCATTCCTGTGGTATCTGCACAGCTAATCTCACTATTTCTGTGGTCCTTGATGTCATGAGCAGGTTCACATTTCTAGAGATTTCTTCCTTTCCTCCCTGAGGCCAGGCTCAACAGGACTTTCTCAGCCTTGATTAGAAGGGAAAGAAAATAGAATGAAGAAAGGCTTAACAGTTGATTCTTCTCTGTGTGATTCATCTGGGTGTGATCACTTTTCTGCAGATGTTGTATAGTTTCATTGAACTGAACCCAAAATTAAATGGAAAGAATATTAATAAAATTCAGGAGTTTATGAATATATCTCCACTCTGGAGGTCTGTTTCCTCTCAAGTTTTCAGTTCTGTAGAACCTGTCCTTCCTTAGAGTTTACAAGTTTGGCCTGCTTTTGGACAAGATGTGAAAATAAAACCAAAAGTCCCATATTGGTGAAATAAAGTTTAATAAAGCTTCAGTTTCTCCGTGTGTGTGTGTGTGTGTGTGTGTGTGTGTGTGTGTGTGTGTGTGTGTGTGTGTGTGTGTGTGTGTGTGTGTGTGTGCTGATCCTAGAGCTTGAACTCAGCGCCTGGACGCTGTTCCTGAATTCCAGATCCACTTCCAGCTTTTTTGGTAGCTAAGAGGCAATAAGAGTCTCATATGGCCTTTCCTGCCCTGGCTGTCTCTGAACAATGATCCTCTGATCTCAGCCTCCTGAGTAGCTAGGAATACAGATGTGACCCACCAGCACCTGACTCCAAAGATATATACATATATATATAATTTTTATTGTTTATTTTTGTCAGTTGTGGGGCTTGAACTCAGGTCCCAGGTGCTATCCCTGAGCTCTTTCCCTTAAGTTAGTGCTCTACCACCACTTCCATTTTTCTGGTGGTTAATTCAAGATAAGAGTCTCACAGATTTTCCATTACAGGGCTTGCCATCCTCAGATCTCAGCCTCCCAGTAGCTTGGGTTACAGGCATGAGCCATCCGTGCCCAGTTAATTTTTTTGGGGGGGTCCGGTCCTGGGGCCCGAACTCTGGGCCTGGGTGCTGTCCCTCAGTTCTTCAGCTCAAGGCTAGCGCTCTACCACTTGAGCCACAGTGCCTCTTCCGGCTTTTTTCTGTTTGCTTATGTGGTGCTGAGGAATCGAACCCAGGGCCTCATGTATGCAAGGCAAGCGCTCTACCACTGAGCCACCTTCCCAGCCCGTGCCCAGTTAATTTTTAGAAATATTTCTGCTCAAGTTCCTATGGGGGAAAAAATTAAAAACTGAATTAAAATTAAGACTGTGCACACTCCTTCAAAGGTGAGAATTTAGAATTGCTTGTTTTTTAATAGCCTATGTCATAAAGACTATTTTTACATAAGATCACTATCTCAATAAAGCATCATTCTATTAACGTCATTCTCCACTTGGACAGGAGAAAGTTTTGAACCGTAGCATGAAAGTCTACCAGAAGACGACGTTCTCCTCCCGAATGAAGAGCCGGTCACACTTGGGCCAGCTGACTTTTTACTCTGACCCAGGGGGTTCATTGGAAAATATGGGGCTAGATCCCACTCTCATTCTCAGGTTGACAGAAGGTAAGTCTGAATGACTATTTCTTGGACAACATGATTTTGAATATTACCTTAGGTAATTTGGAGAATTTTCTGGAGGTGAGAAAAACAGCTGTCTCGCAGTGATGGAAAGGGTCTTTAGATGTTGAGAGGCAGGAGAGAAGTCTATTTTAAATAAGGAAACATACCTTTCCAACAAAAAGGTTAACTGATTTTCACATCTTTTAGGAGGAAACTCACTGGCAAAGGTGGGGGCCGGGTAACTTAAAAACTAAAGACTCTGATTATCCCTACTGAGATTTGTTTGTTTGTTTTTTGTTTTTGTCAGTCATGGGGTTTAAACTCAAGGCCCAGGTGCCACCCGTTGGGCTTCATTGCTCAAGGTGAGAACTCTACCACTTTGAACCACAGAGCCACTTTCAGTTTTCTGGGGGTTAATTATAGCTGAGAGTCTCAAGGACCTCCTTGCCTGTGATCCTCACATCTCAACCTCCTGAGTAGCTAGGATTAAGGTGTGAGCCTCTGGCACCCAGCTCCTACTGAGTTTTAGATGTAGAAATATAGAAATTTTCTAAGGTTGGAGAAACTAGGATTGCTCGTGCTGGAAAACTCATAGAACTAGGAAGCTAATGGAATTAAATAAGCTTGCCTGTTATTGCAAAAACAAAAATACAACCCTGATCTTATTGACCTTTAGCATCTAAAATATTATAAGATGCTAATTAAAAGTAACTACAATAATTAAAAGAATAATTGATTATAGGTGGGTTTTATCTTTATGTCTCAGTCTGATATTACATATAATGGCGAGCTGAAAGTCATCAAGTACATTTAAAATAGCAAGTCATATATCTGAGAAAGAATTCTGAGGGAAATTGACTTGGTTCCTCCCCCCCCCCCACTGGGAGCTTGAACTCAAGGCTTGGACACTGACCCTTAGCCTTTTCACTCAAAGTTGGTGCTCTACCATTTGAACCACAGCCCCACTTCTGGCTTTTTTTGAGTAGTTAATTGGAAATAAGAGTCTCACAGGCTTTCCTGCCCAAACTGGCTTTGAACCATGACCCTCAGATTTCAGCCTCATGAATAGCTACAATTACAGGCATGAACCACCAGCATCTAGCTGAAATTGTTAGGGTTTATTATTATTATTATTTTGTTTATGTGCTAGCGAGGAATCGAACCCAGTGCCTCATGAATGCCAGGCAAGCACTCTACCATTAAGCCACATTCCCAGCCCTGATACTGTTAGTTTTGTTAGAGGTGAAGGTGGTAGTATACTTACGTTTTGAAACTGCCTTGTCTGGGTGAATTACCTACAAAAGCAGTCATGGATAAAATGATCCAAGGATTCTGATTTTTCTATATAGTACTCCAGAAAGGGGAAATGGAGGAGAGGGACAAAAGATAAGATGGATAAAAGGTTAATAGTGTTGAAGTAGGTGCCAAGTACATGGGGGTCCATTAGATGCTTCTCCTTTTACATCAGTATTGATGATTTCCATTATATAAAGTTGTTGTTGTTGTTTTTCAGTCCTGGAACTTGAACTCAGGGCCTGGGCTTTTTCACTCAAGGCTAGTGCTCTACCACTTGAGCCACAGCACCACTTCCAATTTTCTGGTGATTCATTGGAGATAAGAATCTCACAGACCTTCCAGCCCAGCCTGGCTTTGAACCATGATCCTCAGATCTCAGCTTTCTGAGTAGCTAGGCCTACAGGTGTGAGCCACCAGTGCCCAGCTATATTTTTTAAGATTTAAAAGAGAGCTATGTTCTATGGGCTGGTTACTTTGGCATATAGTTTAATCCTCAACAAAATGCCATCAGATCTGTTTGCCTCGTCCTTGTACCTGATGAATGTAGTTCAGTGAGTTTGAGTCACCCCACAGCTCTAAGTGGATACAGAAGTCAAGTCAAGGCCTGTCTGACTCCAAAGCTTGTTGTTACCTACCAAGTAATAGTGATTAACACCTAGTACAATCGTTGTTGCTATTATATAATGGCCTGCAAAATCAAATGATTGCACATTCTAATTGTATTGTCTAGATAATAGTGGCTAACAATTATTAAGAAGTCACTGAGTGTTTTATAATCTATTGCTTCATTTCCTTCTGCCAATACCACATGTAACCAAGTCATAAACTACTTAGGCTAACTTTTGAGTCTCTATTTCAGTAGCTTTCTAAAAAGCCAGAGGTAGAATAATTATTGTTTGTCTTTCAAATTTGGTGTTTTCCCCTTGGTTTCCTCCTCCTAAAGCAACAATCCCTATCTGGGACATTGCAGAAGGTACAGGAAAAGGAGAGCCAGAGAGAAATGGGTAGTAATTCTTAAAGCTTCACCTTGGAAGAAACAGAGACTGTGTCCATGTGACTGTGTGGCCACGTCTCACCGCCGCTGAGTGATTTATGTGTATAATTTTCCAAACTGGGGGAAAAAAAACTTTTCATAGTTTTTTTTAGTATTTCCTGTCTTGTTTTCTACATGATCAAATGAATGATCATCTTCTCCTTTCCTGATACAAATTCAGCTGTGGTGTCAACAAACATGTTGCCTGAGGACCCCATGTTTCTGTCTAGATTGACTATCTGTTATGATTTTAAGCAGTTCCATCCTGTCCATTGCAGCACAGGCTTAGAAAAAGCCTCTCCCTCTCCCCTCATCTGACTTGAAGGGACTTATGCAAAGATATTGACGTTGCTAAGCTTCAGGACCCAAATAGGTAGTAATGAATTCTCTAGAATACAATTGGACACCAAAATTAAGCCTAGATACATGCTGAATGTAATGACTTTTTTATTCTTCTTCCATATAGCATCTTTGAAAGATAATGAACATTAAAGATAATATTCAATATTCTTTACAGGTGCAGATGCAAAAAAGACTCTCTTTGACTTTATAAATGACCAGAGAAGCAGGTTTCTACTTGAGGTAGTAAAGATAAATTTTCTTCCACTAGCTGAACAGAAAACATCTTGTATTACGTTGCCAAATATTTACCTTGACATAGTATTTTTTCACAACATGTCCCAAGTCTATTGGCTGAATGAATTGGTTCATTCTTCATTTACTTGGGTAATATTTATTGAATGTTTACCATGTGCCAAGTAGTGAACACACACACACACGCGCGCACACACACACACACACACATTCCTCAGGGAGTTTATATTCTAGTAATCTATTAGGAAAATTACTTTTGAGGATATCTCCCATTTTTTCAATTCTCTCTCCCAAAAACCTTGGTGACACTCAAGAAATCCAACTTAATTTAGGACTTCTTGAAGTTTTGGTTGAATATGGTGGGAATCAAAGCATACTGGAAATTCAGAGAATTCTGAAATCTAACCCATATCTTTGTTTCAGCATTTGATGAAAATAACAAAAAACTTTTATCCTACCATCAAAAACCTTTCATGAGAAACCAGTCCATGTAACTGAAAATGTGATTATTTAGTATCTCTATATAAATATTCAATATTCACTTAGTATCTCGATGTGACTACACATATTCACTTAGTATCTCAATGGGAAGATAATTATGAAAATAATTAATTGAGCGTTGTTTAAATCTCTATTGTCAAGTATGTAATCAATCATCTAAAGACAGCCTGCATCTATTAAAGTCTCTGATGCTAATGAGTAAGTGAAAATGTATTTGTGCCCAGCCCATACCTGTAATCCCAGATATTCAGGAGACAGAAATAGGGGATCATAATTTTAGGTTAGCCTAGGTTAAAAAAAATTAGTGATGTGATCCACACAATCGTTAGGAAATACTTGGAAAACTTATACAATAAACTGGGAACTCCAAAAGAAATTGATTTGTTTTTAGATAAAGTTGACCTACTAAACCTGAACCAAGAGTATATAAATCATTTTAATAGAGCTATAACAAATAAAGAGATTGAAACAGTAATAAAGAATCTACTGACAAAGAAGAGCCCATGATCTGATATTCATAGCGAAATTCTACAAGACCTTTAATGAACTACTCAAAACCTTGTCCATGAAATAGAAAGGGAAGGAACACTATCAAACTCATTCTATAAAACTAGTATTATGTCATTCTAAAACCAGAAAGGGACACAACAAATGAAGAGAACTATAGAGCCATCTTGGATGAACATACATGAAATTTTTTCAACAAAATGTTTGTTAACTGAACTCAACAACATATCAAAAAGATTGCATGTCATGATCAAATTGGTTTTATTCTAAGCATGAACATATGTGAATCAATAATGTGTAATACAATACAGAAACAGGATCAGAAACAATAATCATAATCATCTCAACTAATTTTTAAAAAACCCTTTGACAAATTTAAATTCCATTTGTGATAAAAAAAAGCTCTGGAAAAAAAATAAGAATAGAAGGAATTTACCCCAATATAATAAAGGTTATACATGACAAACCTACAGCCAATATCACACTAAGTGGGGAAAAGCAAATAATTTCTCTTAAAGTCAGTATTAAGACAAGTATGTGATAATATTGGACTTCTTAGTCAAAGTGATAAGGCAAGAAAAATAAAAGGATGCTAACAGGGAAAGAATGTCAAGTTACCCCCATTTGCAGGTTATATTATCCTATATCTAAAGAACTCTAAAGATTCTACTTCAAAACTCCTACATCTTAGAAATACCCTTGGCAACATAGTATGAAGTAAAATCAACAAAAATCAGTATCTTTTTTGGTTGGTAATAGGCTTAAGCTCTGGGCTTAGGTGCTGTCCCTCAGCTCTTCAGCTCAGGCCCCACTTCCTGTTTTCTGATGGTTAATTGGAGATAACAGACTCACAGACTTTCCTTGTCTGGGCTGGCTTTGAACTGTGATCCTCACATCTCAGCCTTGTAAATAGCTAGGATTACAGGTGTGAGCCATCAGCACCCAGCTCACTATCTTTTTTGTATACCAACAATGAACAGGCTGAGAGGGAAATTAGAAGAAAATGTTCCATTTAAAGTAGCCTCAAAAACAACAACAACAAAAAAAATGCCAGCCAGACACCAGTGGCTCACACCTGTATCCTAGCTACTCAGGAGGCTGAGATCTGAGGATCACAGTTCAAAGCCAGCCTTAGCAGGATAGTCTGTGAGATTCTTATTGCCAATAAAACTACCCATGCCAGAGTAGAGCTGTGGCTCAAGTGGTTAAGCATTAACCTTGAGCAAAATAAGCTCAGAGACAGTGCATAGGCCATGAGTTCAAGCCTTGGGACCAGCAAAGACAAACAAAAACCCCCAAAATAACCCTAGGAATAAACCTAACTAAAAAGTTGAAAGACTTCTACAATTAAAACCATAAAATCCTGAGCCAGGTGCCGGTGGCTCACACCTGTAATCCTAGCTACTCAGGAGCCTGAGATCTGAGGATCATGGTTCAAGGCCAGCCAGAGCAGGAAAGTCCATGAAACACTTATCTCCAATAAACCACTAGAAAACCAGAAGTGGCGCTGTGGCTCAAGCGGTAGAGCCCTCACGTTGAGCTGAAGAGCACAGGGACAGCGCCCAAGCCCAGAGTTCAAGCCCCACAACTGACCCCCTCCCCCAAAAAGAAAAGAAAACTATAAATCCTGAAGAAAGAAATTGAAGAAGGTACCAGAAGATGGAAGGGCCTCCTACGCTTATGAATTGGCAGAATCAATATCATGAATGACTGTAATACCCAAAGACATCTACAAATTCAGAGCAATATCCATAAAAATCCCAAAATAGCAATTCTTAAATTTAGATAGAAGGCACAAAATAGTCACCAACTAGTACAAAAGGTACCAAATAGCCAAAGTAATCTTGAGAAGAAAAAAAAAGGCAATGCTGGAAATATCACAATACTGGCCTTCAAATTATACTACAAAGCTATGGTAATTTTAAAAAAAAGCATGATGGTGGCACAAAAATAGACACAAAGACCAATGGAACAAATTAGAAAAGGCAAACATTATCCACAAACCAACAGCCATCGGATTTTTGACAGATGGCTAAAGAGAGTCTAAAAGGTATGTTGGAGATAGTCTTTTCAACAAATGGTGCTAGGAAAACTGGATATCCACATGTAGAAGACTAAAACTAGATATCAAGAGCTAGGAAGGCTCTGAAATACCACCATAGATGCAAGCTAAGAAATAAGTTTCACATTTTAGTAGGAGACATCACATTTCTGGGCCAAAGATTAATTACTCACTACCATTCTTTTTTCTTTTTTCTTTTTTTTTTGGTCAGTCATGGGGCTTGAACTCTGGGCCTGAACGCTGTCCCTCAGCTCTTCAGCTCAAGGCTAGTGCTCTACCACTTGAGCTACAGCGCCACTTCTGGTTTTCTGGTGGTTTATTGGAGTTAGAGTTTCATGGACTTTCCTGCCCGGGCTGGCTTTGAACCTCGATCCTCAGATCTCAGCCTCCTGAGTAGCTAGGATTACAGGTGTGAGCCACCAGCACCCGGCCCTAATTACTCACTACCATTCTACTCCTGGGTATTTAACCAAGAAAAAGCAAACATGTTTATAGCAACTTTATTTGAAGTGACCTAAACAGGAAACAATGCAACATCCATGGGTGGATAAATAAGTAAACAAAGTCAATACTTCAACATGATAGACACCTATATAACAATAATATGGAATATATTGTGGTTATCTACAATGACATGGATGAGTCTAATTATGCCAAGTTTAAAAAGTCAGAAAAATAGTTTATACTTAAATTTCATTTAGGTAAAATTTTAGAAAATTCTATTTAGTCTCTTAAGACAGAAACATGTCAGTGGCTGACAGGGCAACAAATTGGAAAGAGGGGGAAAAAAGGATGTATTACAAAGAGGCTGAGGAAACTTCTTGGCATTAAGGATTTATTCTCTATTTTGACTGTGGCGATGATTTTCCAAGTGTACACCTATGTCAACACTTACCAGTTCATGTACATTGAGCATGAGGAGTTTGTTAAACATCAGTTATGCTTCAATTGAACTAGAGCGAAGGTAATGATTTTCCAGGAATTTTCTTTCTTTTATTTTATTTGTCAATCATAGGGCTTGAACTCAGGGCCCAGGCACTGGGCCTGAGCTCTTTTGTTCAAAGCTAGCACTCTCCCACTTTGAGCCATAGCTCCATTTCTGGTTTTCTGGTGGTTAAAAGAAGACAAGACTCTCACGCACTTTTCTACCCAGGCTAGCTTTGAACTGTGATCCTCACATCTCAGCTTCCTGAGTAGCTAGAATTACAGGCATGAGCCATCAGTGCCAGTCTGTCTCTCTTTTGTTAAGGTTAGTTTTCCCTTAGAGTCACAAACATACAAACATCTTGTTACTTACCTTGAAAGAAATTTTCATTAGCTCTCAGATTTCTTACCATCTTCGGTCTCAATCTGGTGTTCTCCTTTAGATAGGCAAAAAATTTTCCAAGAATTGTCTTCATTTCCCACTTCTACTTCTCTTCTTATTCTCTCTTAACCCCAATCAGGTTTTTGTCCACATCATTCACCAAGATCACTTGCCAAGATCACGTCTGATTGCACACCAAATTGTCAGTAATCTTTTTCCTTGAACTTGGGAGTCAAAGTTGACCCATTTGACTCCATCTTTTGCTTCTGTTGTTGTTAGTACTGTGGATTGAACCCAGGGCTCACACTTGCTAGCAAACACTATATTCCCTGTTGTTTCATTTTTGTTTTTGAAAGATAGGGTCTTGCTAACTTTACCTGGACTAGCTTTGAACCCCAGGATTGTCCTTCTAGGATGATAGGCCTGATCCATCATACCACATCTCAACTCTTATCTTTCTGGAAACATTTTCATTAGTTGGTCTCCAGGAACTGGTTGCCAGATACTGCATATATCCTTCATAGTTCTTCCTCTCCCTGCTCTTGAATTGTTACAATGCCCTAATGCATAGTCCTCCCCCTCTGCTCTGTCCACACTCTCGCCAGTCTCCTGGCTGAAATCTTGCAAATTTATTTCTTGAAATCGGTCCTTCTGCCTCAATTCTAGAACTCAGAGATGCAACTGTAATCCCCTAATATCTCTACTTATATGTAGGCATTTCAGGCTTAACATTTTCAAAATTTTGCTTTTGTTTTACTCTCTGCTGTGCTTGCGATCCATAGTTCATGCAAGATTCCCTGTGCTGTGAATAATAATTCCATTTTCCTAGTTGACTGGGCCAAAATATTGGAGTTATTTTCAACTCCCTACCATCCACATTCAAGAACACCAAAGTATATCACAATATAAATTGTTGCTATCACCCCCCAAACCCTGCCTCCTGTTCCTGCTTTGTCCCCTTTAGTCAATCTCTTCTGCACAGTAATAAGATTGAGTCCCTCATCTGCTGAAGATCTGGAGGAACCTGCTCTAGTCCCTGGCTGTCTGTGAGCTTGTTCTTCCTATTGCCCAACCTTGTTCGCTGTGTTGCAGCCACAGGGCCTCCAGGCTGTTTCTGAAATACCCCACACTCACTCTCTTTCCTCCCTGTGGAGGCACTGGTCAGTGAACCACACAGCTGTATCTGAGATGCATGATTGGCTCCTTTCTTCTGTCCAGTTTCCGATGAATTTATCAGAAAGATTTGCACTGGCTAGTCTTCACTTACCTATGCCCACTGGTAACCCATTCCTTTGGATATCATCAACTCTTCTTTGATAGAATAGACACTCTGTCAAAGCAATCATGGTTACTTTGTTCACCACTCAAAACAGACCTGGCACATAGCAAACATTCAATAAGCACTTGGGGAATAAAGTAATACATAAAATATTTTTGTTATAAACTCAGAGGGCCAATTATTGATTGTAATTTCCTAAAATTATCTCATTTCTATGTTTGACCCATAAATATTTATTGAGACAGGGTCTCACTCTATAGCCTAGGTTTTGTCCCTGCCTGCTCATTCTGAGTGCTGGAATTACAGGCATGCACCACCACACCCAGCTATCATTTCTATGCTTTAAATTCATTGTAATGGATGTAGCTTTGTTTATTTATCATTTATTGTGCATGTATAACATTAAAAACTCAAGTAGATTCTTACATTCTGTCCTAAAAACGCCTAGGTAGATGTGGAAATTGTACTTAGGGGTCTAAACAGGCCTCTCCTAAATGGCTCAGAAGAATGTGTCATTGGCAGGGTGGAGTAGAAATTGCTTTCTCCATTGGCCTTTCCTACTGGAGAAGAAGCTGGTAGACGTGGAGGCTGCAGACAGCCCAGCTGACACAGGCCTAGAAAGAAAGACAGAGGGTGTTGCATGCTGGGAGCAGATAGCCCAGCTCTTGGAAGAGTTATGTAACTCTTCACAGCTTCATAGCTCTTTGATTGGTCGTGCAGAGCCAATTTGGAACAAACCTGACTCTCCTCCCACAAGTAAGCTAGAGGACCTCACCTCCCTTCTCCCTACCCCTCAAGGTCACATTCCTTCATGAACTAAAAGCTAAGCCATTGTCCCGAGATGTTCTCCTACTATGACTTCTAAACACAAATGATCCCTTCCTGAATAGAATTTTTTTCCTCTTTATTATGAAACTGCTGGAATGTTCTAGAAATGTTGCTAATGTTCTTGATGCACTTTCATTTTCAATATTCTCAGTATGCTGTGGCGACCAAAAAAAACACGATTAAAAAGCTTGATAAATGTATAACAACGAAGGAAAATCAACTGAGAAAAGCAGAGAAAAAGCTTCAGGAGGACGCGATAGCCTTTGAAGAGTTCCTTCGAGAAAATGACCAGAGATCTGTAGACGCTCTCAAAGTGTCAGTGTCTTCCTTCTAGCCAAACCCTTCCCCTATTGCTGCTTTGTTTTCGCTTCTCAGAACCCACAATGGCACATGCTAACCAGCTCTCTCAACTTTGCAGTGCAGCTCAAGAAACTCTAAACAAAATCCAAATGACAGCCGAGCTGAAGAAAGCAAACATGGAGATGCAGGTGATAAAAAGGTGAGGTCCGGGCCACTTGCTCCCCTTTTGATAATAAAACCTACAGATGTTTTAGCATTAGATTCTACATTTCATAAAGATGCCTAATGGTGCTCAGTAAGAAGACCTATGTGGCAATGACGATTCTGATCAAGGGCAGATTGGTAGCTCCCACCTGTAATCCTAACTACTCAGGAGGCTGAGATATGAAGATTGAGATTTGAAATCTGGGCAGAAAAGTCCATGAGACATTTATCTCCAATTAACTACTGAATTCATTAGTCCTACTAGTCTATCAATCAAGGACTATTCTTGCCTGGGTATCAGTAGTACATGACTTCTGTCTGGAAAAGTCTTCTAACTTGCCGATACAGAAATGGGTTGAAAGACAAAGCAATGTCAGGCTAAATAATGAATCTTTTTTATTCATTTTAAGATACATTTTTTGCCCTACATTTTGCTCTCTGTAATTGGGATTCCTCTTACAATTGCCTTATGATTTTTTAATCAATTTATACTTCCAGTTAAGTAGAATCTCACATTGCAATTAGGCTGTAAAATGAAAAAACTTACAAGGGCAGGAGTTGGGATTTATATTTTTATTTGTGTACCATCTGCCACTTTGTGTATGTGCAGTTGTGTGTGTGTGTGGGTGTGTGCATACACACGTGTGCATGCTAGTAGGGGTATCTTGAACTCAGGGCGTTGTGTTCTCACTTAGTTTTTTTGCTAAGGCTAGTGTTCTATCACTTGAGTCACACCTCCATTTCTGGCTTTTTGCTAGTTAATTGGAGATAAGCATCTCATGGACTTTCCTGCCTGGGCTGGCTTTGAACCTCAGTCCTTAGATCTCAGCTTCCTGAGTAGCTAGGATTATAGGCATGAGCCACCAGCACTCGGCTCTGCCACTGTCTTTTGAACCTGCATATTTCTTTCTTCTATAGTCAAGGAAACTCACTTGAACTGATTTTAAATTTCCATAAAGATTCACCATCCTGGGACAATAATTACAGGACCCACAAGAGATCCTGGTCACAGAAGCCTCCTCCTCTGTTGAAGGATCGTAACATTGAAAGTCCTTTCCCTCTCTCACCCTGTGATATACTTTGACGATTCTGTCTATTCCAAGAATATATGTAGACTCCCAATAGCAGCCTCTATGTTTGTGTATGTACAGTTCTACATTTCTGCACAGTGGCCACCCAGTGACACCCTCCAGACAGCCCTTGACAGCCTCTCTCTCACCAGAGCTGAAGGAAGAGCCTAACAGATCAAGGGTAGAAGCTGAGTACACTGATATGCTATAATAGCAGTAAGAATACTGACAAGGATCTTAATAAGGAAGACCTAGAAAGATGAGCACCTTTAAACTTGAGCTTTCCTGACTTGCATTCCTTTGGGTCTACTTTGTAATGTGATTGGGTTCAACCATTGTGGAGCAAGGGTGGAAACCTTTCAGTCCAGGTATCTGTCAGGTATCTTAAGCATTAGGGAATTACATGGTCCCACTTGAGTGTTGACTCTATCACACACTCAAAGGATGACTTTGCAAGCCATCCATCTCTTCTAAAAGACTGAAGTGAGAATAGATACCTGTAAGATGTGAGAGGGATAAAATGATCCCCTCAGTACATGGTAGGTTATCACAAAGTGTTAGTATTCTCTCTTCCCCTCAGGTCAGTACTGTCTTTTATTCTATTTAATTTCTTCCCGTGTCTAAAATTTAATACAGTACAATGCTTCATTCAGAAATAAGGAAGCAAAGGAAAATTATAATTTTTAACTTTATTTTTGGCCAGTCCTGGGGCTTGAACTCTGGGCCTGGGTGCTGTCCCTGGGCTCCTTTTTTGCTCAAAGCTATTACTCTACCACTTGATTAACAATGCCACTTTTGCCTTTTTCTGTGATTAATTGGAAATAAGAGTCTCATAGACTTTTCTGCCTGGATGGACTTCAAACTACAATCCTCAGATCTCAGCCTCCAAAGTAGCTAGGATTACAGGCATGAGCCACTGGCACCCAGCTAGTTTTAGCATATTTTACTCAGATAACAGCCCTATAGGTATCTTTCTAATCATACATTGTTGAAGCCTGTATGTTTATAGTCACACTTTTAATTTTGTGAGTACATTGTTATATAAGTATATTATCAAGAGAATTAATTTTAAGTATTTTATATGCTTTAATACTGATGGAACTAACCATATTCTTGTTTCTTTTGAAGTGACATAACAAAAACAGAATTCCTTCTCAGGGAGTACATGCAATATGGATATTTTCTGTTGAAATTATCTCCAAAACATTGGCAAATACAACAAACACTAAAAAAAGAGCAGGCGCAAAAAAGTAATATTGTTCTTCCAAAAATAGTACCAAGTAAGTCATGTAGTCTTAATTTTAATTAAGTAAATAGTCTTGATTCTGAAATATTCTGCTTCAATTGGGTGGTACTTATTTGAATAGTTAGAATTTTACAAACAAACCTGAGCAAGGATTCCTACTACTTCTTTTTTGTTGTTGTTGGTGGTGATGGGGCTTGAACTCTGGGCCTGGGCACCGTCCCTGAGCTCTTCAGCTCAAGGCAAGTACTCTACCACTTGAGCCACAGTGTCACTTCTGGCTTTCTGGTGGTTAATTGCAGATAAGAGTCTTATAGACTTCCTTGCCTGGGCTGGCTTTGAACTGCGATCCTCAGATCTCAGCCTCTTAAGTAGTTAGGATTACAGGCATGAGCCACTGGTGCCTGGCTCCCACTACCTCTTACTATAAATGGTTCATTTGGAAATTCAGGTTCATTGCAAGTGTACAGCCATAAAAATATATACATAGAAAAAGAGAAATGTATTATTTTGAGATGAAATAAATAGCATAGAAATCATTCTAAATAGCATAAAAATCCTTCTCAAAAACTATTAAAGATAATAAAGTTTTCAACAGATATAAAGTCAATTATACTTTAGTAACCTATTATCTTAAATAAGCTGATCTTATTAACTATAAATATATACCAAAAAAACCAACCCTTAAAGTATGTGACCTGCTAGTCTGACAAACAGAAAGATTTATGTTTTCAGATAGGAAGATTAGTTTATAAAGTTACCAATTTTCCTGAAATGAATGTATACATGTTACCCAAAGAAATATGAACAAGTACTGATTTTTTTGTTTTGTTTCCAATTCTGGAGTTTGAATTCATGGCTTCCCGTTTGCTAGGTTGGAACTCTACTATTTGAGCTGCACCTCCAGCCTGACTTGGTTGGTTATTTTGGTTATTATTCTCAAAGATTTTTCTGTCTGGGGCTTCAAACTGTCATCCTCTGGATGTCCAACTCCTAAGTAGCTAGGATTACAACCATGAGCTACTGTTACCTAGAAACAAATACTTTGAAGTGAGAAAGTAATAAAGGAAGTTACTATTCCTTTAGCATATTATATACTACAATGTCATGCCATTTCAGTAAGCAGAATAGTGGTAGGGAAGTCAACTCAATGGACTAGAAATTGATCTCATTATATAAACTTTAATCAGTGATCAAAAATGGAGGTACAAAGAAAAATGGAAGACTTCAGCAACATGTGGTAATTAGGACTAGACATGTTCCCACCTGAAAAACATTCTGGAAAGCTGGTTAAATGTAAGAAATATGAATTTGCAGACCTTGGCCACCAAGCACCAAGCAGAGTAATCCCTGGGAGAAGAGAGGGCAATGAAGCAAGCAGCTTTCTTCCTAGGGTGTTTCCAGGATGTCCCAAAAGACAGAGAGCCACAGTGGAGCTCAGCTGAGAGATGAGCATTTACATCACAGAAACAAGCAAAGCACAAGTAAAGGAGATTGTGTTTTTCAGAAAGCTGATTGTTAAACATTTCCCAGGATACCACTGATGATTACCTTACTCATTTTACCACTCAGCTCTCATGTGTGTGTGTGTGTGTGTGTGTGTGTGTGTGTGTGTTTGTGTGTGTGTGTGTACGTACTAACACTTGCTCACAGTTCACTAAAGGGTACTGAACAAGTAGGACCGGGTATGGTGTTATAGGTGGGGTAGAGATAGGACCATCACAATCTGAAGCCAGTCCAGGCAAAAGCATGAGACTTTATCGTAAAACAAACTAAAACCAAAAGGACTGGAGCATGGCTCAGCAGTAAAGCACCTGTCTAGCAAGCACAAGGCCCTGAATTCAAATACCAGTACTGTAAAAAGAAAGAAAAATGGAGCAAGAGGGAAATAGGAATCAAAATAAAGAAGTTACTTGCAAGCACTTGACAGCTTAAGACTTAGTCCTCCTGGACGCATATGTAAATAGAGGAATGCTCAGAACCCACTTAGTCAAGAAGTGTCCGTGGCAATTACTGGAATTTCACAGGTAATGACAGACTGATAGGACCAATGAAGCCCCTCAATCTCCCAAAGTCCATTCTGCCTATGCCAGAGACCACCCTTCATCACCTGCATTTCAGAGTCTGAAAGTTTCTACAAAAAATAATCTCCCCTGATGATGAGACACTCTCATCCGCAATCTATAAAAACTGTTAACTTCCATAATAGGCATTCTACATTAAAAACATAATAAACAAAATATTTCCTCTCCCTCCTCCTTTTTTTTTTCATTTTTAGAAAGCACAGGAAGTTCACATAAAAAACACCACCGGGTGGATGGATCTGAAAAAACATCATCAGATGAACATTATTCAGTAAAAGCGAACAAAGGTAAAAGTTGAGAAGTGTGACTTAATTCCCCAAAGGAAAACTGGAGAATGTTCCTCCAAGTAGAAAAGGAAGGCCTAGCTACAGTCCAGGACACCAGGCCAGGGACAATCAAGTGATGGCCGTTGGTCTGTGACTTAGATAAATCTCTCTTGGGGAGAATAGAAACTTGCAGAACTTTCTTTAAGGCCATGATCCCCTTTAGATGGATGGTCCCCTCCTCCCTCCACAGGACCCTACAGCCACAGGCCAGGAAATTGGCTCCAGTGTGTTGTCCTTGTTTGATTTTTGGACATTTAAAAATCAACATCCTCCTATGAAAACCACAAGATCTGTAGTGTGGGCTCAAGCTAGAAACTTCCCCATTTTGGAAGCACCTGTCCTATCAGGTGTGGATGTGAGCGTGGGGTATATGTGTGTGTGTGTGTGTGTGTTATGTATACATACATGTATAACACATATCTAATTTCTCTTTCATACACATATGTGCATATACATATACAAACAGGAACCCATGAACATGTATATACTATATATACACACACACACACACACACACACACACACATATATATCTATTAACATGCATTTCTTAGTTTTGGTCCCTAGTTTGTGACTTCCAATAGTAGTTACAACATGCTTATGACAAATCATGTCCCCCACCATCGCAGCCAAAATGCCTTTGATTTTATACTTATTCTTGGATCCCAGTTTCAGTAGAAGTCCCATTTTCCATATGATTATCTTTCTGACGATAAAATGATCACAACTTGAAACAGTAATGTGAAGTGAAATTGAATATCTCATCCCAAATGGCAAAGACTAATTTCTAAAGCCACGTTCTTTCTCTGCCTATACCATCACAATGGGACGACTTCCCCGGACATTCTGAACAGGAAAGCACCTCAAGAAGGTCAATTTAATCCCAGAGGCCAAGAAATCATTCAGGTACAGTACATACTTAGTCACCTGCGTTGGAGCTGAGAGCGAGTTTTAGAAAGTAGCTCTTGTTAGCCCTCTTCCCCCCACACAGAGACCCCCATCTGAGATTGTCCCAGATATCAGGACAAATACTGGAGCTGCTTCTGTGTGCTCCTGAGGTGACCCAGCTCTCTGGCATCTGAATTCTTTGACAAGGACCTGCAAGTCTGATTTGTAGAAAGTGCCAGTCCCCTGCCTCTGGGGTTTTCCTCTCTCACCATCCACTGTCGTATGGTTTATTACAGTAGTCCGGGCTGTTGATTCATGTACACTTGCTTTGTAAAGGGCTCGTCTTCAACTCTGGCTTTGACAAGGGAGACTTAAGAAAAGATAGTATGCCTAGGTTACCAGCCCTGAAGGAGAGTTCTGAGGCAGCATTACAGTGCCCACAATGATCACTCAGACACTTGACTCTGAATTTTAGGGGCCCCAAAGCCACTCTATTTCTGCAGCACTTACCCATCACTAGAGTTTTAATTCATCTTTTAGTTTGAGCTAACTATAGGTTCACATGCAATTCTAAAAATAGTACAGAAAGATCCCATGTTCCACTGCCCCAACTTCTCCCAATAGCACACCATCTTACAAAAGTGTAGCCCAATGCCACAGTCAACAAATTGACACAGACATAGCAAATCCAAAACATCCATAGAGGATCCTTGTTATATGGCCCATTTATAGCCACACCCTCTACTGGAACTGAACCCAATTTTCATATATATACATATATATATAATTGTACAGATACTGTACAGAGCAGTTACATTTACATGAGTAAGGTAATGACTGCATTTCCTATTTAGTATTGTTACCTCCTCCTTAGTTTTTCCTCTACCATCCCTTCCCTCCCCACCTCCCCAACTCCTCCCAAGTTGTAAAGTTCATTTTCAACATAGTGTCTTGTATATCTCCTTGTTACAATGGGTCAACCTGTATCCTCATTTCAACATTCCCCTCCCCAAATTAGAAAAATGTATGTATATGATGCAGGACACCGGAATCAAATACAGTGAAAACAGGGGTTATACCATGAGGGAAGAACATACAAAAGAAACAAAACAATCACATAGTAGATTATAAGTACATTAAAAACAACAGCAAGAAAGATAAAAATCGCTTGTGTCCCTATCTTGGGGTTCATTTCGCTTAGCATCATCTAATATGGTCATATCTAGGTAGATGATGCTAAGATTATGCTAAGCAAATTTCTTTTGAATTCTCAGGAACCACACTGATTTCTTTTTTTTGGGGGGGGGTCCAGTTGTGGGGCCTGAACTTTGGGCCTGGGCGGTGTCCCTCAGCTCTTCAGCTCAAGGCTAGCGCTCTACCACTTGAGCCACAGCACCACTTCCGGCTTTTTTCTTTTTGCTTATGTGGTGCTGAGGGATCGAACCCAGGGCCTCAGGCATGCAAGGCAAGCGCTCTACCACTGAGCCACCTTCCCAGGCCCACCACACTGATTTCTGCAATGAGCAGTTTCCTAAAAAGCTAACTGGTAGGCTGCTGAAAAGAACTGTTTCAGTTGGAGCCCAATGAAAGCCAATATGTTGACAGAAAAGTCACAAAGAATTCTTTTTCTTTTACAGCCGGCCTGACAGTAGCAGCTCTGAAGACAGTTTGGATTTCATTTTAGATAATGACATCAACTTTGCTCTGGTAACCAGGTGTTATTTCTCAATTTACATAATGTGCTTTGTGAAAAGTATACATGTGTATTTCGGAGCGCTTTTTTTTTTTTTTTTTTGGTCAGCCATGGGGCCTGAACTCTGGGCCTGGGCGCTGTCCCTCAGCTCTTCAGCTCAAGGCTAGCGTCCTACCACTTGAGCCACAGCACCACTACCAGTTTTCTGAGTGGTTTATTGGAGATAAGAGTCTCAAGGGCTTTCCTGTCCTGGCTGGCTTTGAACCTCAATCCTCAGATCTCAGCTTCCTGGGTAGCTAGGATTACAGGTGTGAGCCACCAGCACCCAGCTTGGAGGGTTTTTGAAATTAAAATGTCTATTTCAAATATTTCACAAATTTTCCAGAAGGAAATAGGATATTGATGTTATTCTTCAATTGTCTCTATATCAAACTATCTATGAAAGACCAATGTCTATAGAGGAAAGTTGTGATTTGGGAAGATTTATAATCTACAGTCTTCCCATGAAAATAGACATGTATTTGAGATGGACTGGGTAGCTAGACCCAGAAAATAAATAAGTCTTCACTCAATCCCATCTTGATTGCTATAAAATTGATTTATGCTTATCTTACCTGAAATCCAACCACAGAGACACAAAATGAATTTAAATAACATCCATTACTTCATACAACATGACTTACCCAAGATATCTTTTTTAATTTTTTTCTTGTCATTTGTGGGGCTTGAACTCAGGGCCTGGGCACTGTCCCTGCGCTTCTTTATGCTCAAGACTAGCACTGTACCACTGGAGCCACAGTACTACTTCTGGTTTTTGAGTGGTTAATTTGAGATAAGAGTCTCATGGGAGGGCTGGGAAGGTGGCTCAGTGGTAGAGCGCTTGCCTTGCATGTATGAGGCCCTGGGTTCAATTCCTTAACACCACATAAGCAGAAAAAGCTGGAAGTGGTGCTGCGGCTCAAGTGATAGAGTGCTTTAGCCTTGAGCTGAAAAGTTGAGGGACAGCACCCAGGCCCAGAGTTCAGGCCCCATGACCAAAAAAAAAGAGTCTCATGGGGACTTTTCTGCCTGGGCTGGCTTTGAACCATGATCCTCAGATCTCAGCCTCCTGAGTACCTAGGATTACAGGTGTAAGCCACCAACACCCAGCTAACAATTGTATTTTGTGTGAACCTATAAACAGAATTTTATAAACAGCATTTTAAGTGCACAGTTACATTAATTATTCACATTGTTGAGCAAAAGATCTTTACACAACTTGTTCCTTTTGCAAAACTGGCTTTTTCTGCTTATGTAGTACTGAGGAATCGAACCGAGGACCTCATGTATGCAAACAAGGCAAACACTCTACCACTGACTCACCTTCCCAGCCCAGTATTTGTCTTTTTTATAGGTGGCTTCTTTCATATAACATTTTCCCCAAAGTTCAGCCATTAACAAGTTCTCCTTTTTAAAGTCTGAATATATTCCATTATATGTCTGCATTACATTTCCTCTATTCCATTCTTAATACCCATTCAGCCATCCATAGACATCAAGGTTGATTCTGCTACTTGTCAATAATGATGAAAATAGGTATGTGAACACACAAGTCATTTTTGTAAAAATTGTTTAAAGTCATACGAACTATTCTTAAAACTTTGGAAAATATGAAAGAAAATAATTGCAAGGTGAGGAGAAAATCACTTTCATTTAGCCTCTGTCTTCTATTTCTTCTTTCTTGCTGTTCCCTTTCCCTCTTTTCTGTCCTTCCATCCCTTCCCATCCCTTCCATCCCTTCCCATCCTCCCCCTGCTCCCCCACCCAATCCTTCCTGCTCCCCCTCTCCTCACCCCCCCCACACCAAAGTTGTAAAGTTCGTTTTTGACATAACGTCTGTCCTTGATTTCTTGTCTGCTATACCCCTTCTTTTTTCTTTTTTCCTGATTGCAGTCTTTTTTTGTGTGTTCCCTTACTCTATCTAGTGTCTCTGATCTCCTCTCATTCCTAAATTGTCCTTTTCCAAAGAGCCATCTCCCACTTGAAAATATGCAAGGCTCCCATCAATTCTCTCCCTGTCTATCTTACGGTCACCCAAAGAATGTTCATATAAAGGCCCATGCTTTGGGAGGTAGTAAAGATAAGTTAGGGGTGGGGTCTAGTGGAAGAAAGTTAGGTTATTGGCCATGTACCCCTGAAGGGGTTACTGGGACATTGGCCCATGTCTTCTCCCTCCTGGCCACCATTAGGTGAATAGGTTGCCACCACCATGTGCTCCTACCATGATGTGCCACCACAAGTGCGAAGTGATGGGCCAAGTGTCTGGACTGACACCCTGAAACTCTGAATCAAACCTTTGCTCCTTGTGAGTTGATATCTCAGGTATTCTTGTCACAATGATGGCAAGCTGGCTAGCACCAGTGTTACTTTACTCCATTGCATTTTCCAGATGAGTTACATGTGTGTATGTGTATATATGTATCTATCTGTATATGTATATATGACTTGCATTCTTCATTATTGGTTAGGAGCCAGAGATTTACTTCAATGAACCAGAAGAGTTACTTCAAGTCCTCACTGAGCTGGAAGAGCAAAATCTTAATCTGGTCCAGTATTCCCAAGAAATAGATGAAAATCTTGATGAGGTCAACAGAAGAGAAAAAATTATACAGGATAAGATGTAAGTCATTAAAAACAACAGCATTTAATCTATGAAGCAATTCCTGACCAGAAACTATGTCCAGCTCATTGATGATGGCTCTTGCTCATGATGCCTCAGGATGTGGGTAGGATATTTTAAAATTAATAATAGTTTACTCTATGGGTGTGAAAGGGAGAAGCTGTACTTGCATAGAATAGCCTGGCCCGCTTCCTCTTCCTTGTGAACATGTCTTCCTAGCTAGTAATAATGATAGTTTAGAAGACTAAAAATAAGACAATGTCTACCGCCTTAATTTTTTTCCCAGTATAATGTTTACCCCATCACATAGCTAGGTATCATTTCTGTAATTAAATCATGTCATGTTTTGGGTGCATTTTCTCTAGTTTGTGACTCTCAGAAAAATAACTTTCTATTATTTAGTAGTATAATCTTTCAAACCAGGCATGGTAGCTCATGCCTATAAACCCAGCTACTTGGGTAGAAATCGAGAGGGTGGAAGTAAGAGGCTATCCTGGGCAAAAGCTAGTGAAACCATGGCTGAGTGAAGTAGTGCATGTTTATAGTACCAGCTATGTGGGAAAAGTAAATAGGAGGATCAAAGTCCAGGCCAACCAGGAAAACTAACACAAGACCCTATCAGAAAATAACAAAAGCAAATGTGTGAGATCCTGAGTTCAAACTCCAGTACCATAACAAGAAAAATAGTATGAGGCTTGAACTCTTGGCCTGGGCACTGTCCCTGAGCTCTTCAGCTCAAGGTGAGCGCTCTACCACTTGAGCCACAGCACCACTTGTAGTTTTCTGGTGGTTCATTGGAGATAAGAGTCTCATGGACTTTTCTGGCCAGGCTGGCTTTGAAGCATGATCCTCAGATCTCAGCCTCCTGAGTAGCTAGGATTACAGGCGTGAGCCACTGGCGCCTGGCTTATATCCTTTTATATCAGTGCTATTTCATATCAAGACTTATGTCAGGGGAAGGAGGCTGCATACTTACTCTAAAATTTTATATTATTATTGTTTCACAAAAGAGATTCAAGCCGCAGAGAATAGATCTCTATTTCTATCCATTAGGAAAAAAATGGGTAAAACTTTTAAATATAATTTTATTGTTATTAATGTGTTGTGCAAAGGGATTACAATTTCATAAGCCAGGCATTGAGAACCATTTTCTGCCAGAAGGTGACAATCTTTTTTACAATGAATCAAGCTACACATATCTTCAGAACAAATTAATTTGTCCAAAACCCAGCCACCGTTACCACTACATGTCCTTTGAATCCTGTATTATTCTCAGCCTTTATGGTGTGTGATTCCCCCTGTATACTTTTTTGGGATAAGACAGGTGCAGGCAGATAGGGAAAAGAAGGTAAGCCCTGTGACCCAGAGGTTCTTTCCAAGAATCTAACCTCTGGGTAAGGGAGGGATTCCTTGGCTCCTTAGGTTTTCTAATTGGCCAGATCTGAGAACACATACCTAGCTTGAGCACACACACTACAGCCTGAGTTCCTGAAGCCTCCATTCTGCTGCTCTGTGTTTGGGGGATCTTCAGGGAACCGTAAGAGTAGATAGGGGAAAATGACTCCGGATGGAAGCAAAAGGCAGCAGTTATGTTTGTTTTCCTCATTGTAACTTGAGCACTTTAGGCCATGCCTGACTTGCTAGTTGAGAGTGATGATGCATTCTGAAAGAGGGCTGAAGCTTTCGGATTGCTGCTTTCCTCGTTAAAGCAACTTAGAGACGAGGATCCTCTCTTCTATTACAATAGAAATGCCAATGTCTCCTTCTTGCTGGAGCACAAGGAAATGCTCAAGGCCCAGTGTGTGAGAGAGGAGGAAAAAGCAGCAGAATTGGAATTGAGATCCAGGCTCTTCAGTTTTGGAGAATTTAATTCAGATACTCAGGTAATGTTGTTGTTTGGGGGTTGTTGTTTTTACTATGGCCATGTTACTTGGGCTCAATATAATCATCATCATTTGCCTAAGCATTAGAATTGAGGAGTTTAAACCAATCACCAGTCCGAAGAAAAACCAGCATCATTGTTGCCAGGATGTAAATGGTCAATTAACTAGACTGGAAAAATTCAAATTGGCAGGGATTTGAGTGCAAAGATTACCTTATTGCTTAATGTCCTCATAAATCTGGTGCTCAATAAATGTTTGCTGAATGAATGCTGAGGTTAATATTCAGACCTCCATCTCACATTACTTTTCTTGGATGTCCTCAAATGAACCAACAATTCAATGTGAATCTTTGAGGCTAATATATTTATGGCCATGCACTTGATTTTTCAAACAGATTGAGTTGATAGATTTTAACAGAAAAAGATGACTATCTTCCCTTAACAAGCAGAAGCGGTTTAAATTCTCTCTCTCTCTCTCTCTCTCTCTCTCTCTCTCTCTCATCCTAGGGCATTACAACCTGAGTTAGCATGAGCTGGACTCATGCAAAACTATAGCAAGAGCTATAACAAGGTTTCTTTCTTAACCATTTTTTAAAAACTATAGTCATATATACATAAATTTGAGCCAGGCATGGTAGTTCCAGCTTGTAATCCTAGATCCTTGGGACGTGAGATATCACAGGTTGAGGCCACCCCAGGGGGAGAAAAGATGTTTACAAGACTCCATCTCAACCAATGGCTGGGTGTTGTAGTGTGCACCTGTTATCCCAGCGTAGGGGAAACACAATAGCTGGGCACAGCAGTGTGTACCTGCCAGTGACACAGAAGCACGAGAGGAAGGATCTTGGCCCAGACTGAGCTAGGTTTACAGCAAGACTCTATTCTGAAAATAACTAATACAAAATAGGAGTGTGGCTGAAGTAGAAGAGCACCTGCCTTGCAAGTATGAAGTCCTGAGTTTAATTCCCAGTACTGCCCAATTATGTGTGTGTGTGTGTGTGTGTGTGTGTGTGTATAAAACCACCTAACTATTATAAATGTAATTCAGTAACATTAAGTATATTTGCCATGACCATCACTACTATCTTTTTCCAGGTTTTCATCAAAATTTCAACATGCAGTTTAACATCTTAATGATTACAAATGTACAGTTCAGTTGTGTTAAGTACATTTGTGTTGTGCTGCAACCAATCTCCAGAACTCTTCCATACTGTAAAAGCAAAACTCCGTGAACCACTAACTTCTCCCCCTTCCTCTTCTGTTCCCCAGCAACCACCATCCTTTCCATCCCTAGGAATTTGGCTCTGCTAGGTAACACCTGAGTGCACTGTATAACAGTAGCTGACCTTTGGTGTCTAGCTTATTTTACATAACTGCATCTGATACATAACATGTATCAGCACTGAATTCCTTTTAAGACTGAGTGATACTCGATCATAGCTACCATATTTCGTGTACCCATTCTTCAGTTGATAGCACTCTTCAATTCTATCTTAAGTAATTCTGAAGCTGACTGACCTGAAGAAATGTAAGGTAAATATCTATGACATTTACCAAACCTCCACTAAAGTGAGCCCCTTTCACTCAACTTTGGAAGAAAGTGGGATTTTTAATTCTCTTCACCATCGAGGCCACCAGATCCCTAAATAGAGAAGAGACAATTACCTTTTGAAGGCTAGCCATTAAAATTTTGGTCACAGTTATGCCCAATGTATATATACACTCTGGACAATGGGCTGATAATTTATAGTCTTCCAGAACTCTTCAGCATAGAGTGAGAAAGTAGAGTTGAAGAAAAAAACAAAACAAACAAACAAAAAGCCCAGAAGAGCATAGGATTCTTTTCTTACAATTTTCCTACCAATTCCAACCAATTCCTACCAATTTCCAACCCAATTCCTTCAGATCTCAAAATATACAAAACATAATCCTTTGTTAGCAAATACACAGTCACAACTCATTTTTTTGTTTTCTATCTTTACTGATATATGTGAGGTACCTATTTTTTGGGGGGTGGGGAGTCCAGTCGTGGGGCCTGAACTCTGGGCCTGGGCACTGTCCCTCAGCTCTTCAGCTCAAGGCTAGTGCTCTACCACTTGAGCCACAGCACCACTTCAGGCTTTTTTTTTTGCTTATGTAGTGCTGAGGAATCAAACCCAGGGCCTCATGCATGCAAGGCAAGCGCTCTACCACTGAGCCACCTTCCCAGCCCCGAGGTACCTATTTTTGCTATTCATAAAAAATGATTACTTGGAGCTATGATAATTACAAGTATTTCATTCTTTCAAAATGGTCACATTTCTAATTGTACCTAATCCCTGCATTTTTTCCCTTTATTTTAAAGTAAAATTTAGGCTGGATCTAGTGGCTCATGCCTATAATTCCAGCTACTCAGTAAGTGTAAAAACAAGGACTGTAATCCAGCAAAACATCACAAAACTCTATCTGAAAAACAAATAAGCTGGGTACAGTGGCTTATAGCTACTCAGGAGGCTGAAATCAAAAGGATAGCAATTCAAGGCCAGCCCCAGCAAAAAGCCAATGACTCCATCTCAAACCAATATGAAGCTGGACACAGTGGTATACACCTGCCATCCCAGTTGGACAAGAAGTGTACATAAGAGAATCACAGTCCAGCTGCTGGCCAAAAATCAAAACCCTATCTGAAAAATAACAAAAACAATAAGGGCAAAGAGTATAGCTCAAAATGGTAGAATGCAAGTCCTTGAGCTAAAACCTAAGTACTGAAAATACAAAACTAACTAAACAATAACTAAACAAAACACTTCAGCAAAAAGCATTGAGGTGTTCCTCTAGTGGTAGAGCACCCGGACTTAGATCAAACTCTAGGATCACAAATTTTTAAAAACATACATAAACAATTAGGGTACTTCTCAACATAGCCATGTACCATTCAACAGGGGACAGACTATCATCAGCGGCCCCTAAAAGTCTTCCTCTTTCCCCTTTCCAGTCTCCATCATTCCTCAGAGGTGACTACCATACCATCCTGGCTTCTCCTACCATCCGCTGAACTTTGTAGACATGGAATCATGTGATATGTCCTTCTTCTTTCTCTCACCATTTGTGAGATTCATCCATCTGGTTCCAGTTGGTTTCCAGTGGACATGGAATGGAGCTTCAGTTGTCACACACCTTTCCATTTGCAGAGCGTGTTCAGCTCTTGTTCTAGTCCTTTGTACATCAGCCGGGAAGTCTGGGAAGTGTGGAGTAGCATTACAGAATTGTTGGGTTGGGAAGAACTTGTGATGGCATTCTCTTCAGTCTAAAATAGTGCTCTGGTCACATCATCTGCCTGTCACTGCTGGACTGGAGTTCTCACCCTGGTGCTCTCATCCATAGTCCTGCTGGGCAGCCGTCCAGGTCAGCTTTGCCTCCACCCTGCTCTGGGCTAGGCCTGCCATCTGGTGGCAAGAGCAGATATCTAGCCTCACGCTTCTCTGCCTGCTGTCCCTAGTTGGTCTCTGCCTGGTTCTTTCTCTGTCCTTTAGCTTTGCTGGGTCACATCTGTTTTCTGCACATAAGTTATCTTCCTTAATCTCATTCCCACCACTAACTTCTTAATGTTATTTCTACCTTGTTATTTGAAGAAAATGCCACGACTTTTCCTCTCCTGTTTGATAAGGAAGCATGTTTTAGATGGGGAAGATAGAGAAAAGATATTGTGAAAAGTTACTGCCTGTTCATCTCTAAAACTCTAACCAGTCACCATCAACACAGCCATTTTCATATTTAAGCTGCTTTTCCCCAAAACTAGTATTGAATATCTATTTTAAAACTGCCATGTATTTTGTTCCTGCTTTAAGGATTTGTGTTTTGCCATATATAGCAGATTTCAGCCCACTGGGCTTTTACTTTTTTTCCTCTTATATTTTTCTATAGATCTCCAAGGTTTCTAAAAGGAATATGTAGTTATATAAATAGGAAATGTGTGTTATTTTGAGAGGGTTAATGGCAAATAAGACTTCTTTTTTTTACATATTATTTTATATTTCAAGATTTTTCTCATATTTCTCCAAGATTTTCTTAATAGGGAATACACTAAGTATTTAGAGAGAGAAAAAAGGAACTTTATGATAAATAGAACCACAAGAATGCTCAGTAAGGCAGGCGGGGAAGAGACAAGCTGTTGGTATCAGATCCTGATTTTCACTGAATGCTGGCGCCTCTGGAGGGCGTGCGTGGTTCCAGGACGGGCTGTCCACAGAAGTAGGCGTCATGGAGGTCTTGGGTGTTTGTTTGTTCTCAGCTTTATGGTGATTCTCATCTTCTTGAGCAGAACCAGGAAGTGGGGCAGAATATTCCCTGGAGAACGATTTGCTTTGCCCAGCAGTTTCTTGAGACCCTCTTAGCATCTGACGCCAGTTTTACAGAGGATTATGAGAACGAGAGCGAGGATGAAAATGAGAATGAGAATGTTTTCATGGTCCCGAAACATGTTACTTCCACGCTCAAGATACTCCATGGACAGTTTAAACAGCATACTGTCGAGGTACAGGGATCAGCAAGGTTTGGCCCAAATGCCTCTTTAGAATGGATTTCCAATGGAGAGCCGTGAACATTTTTTAAAGGCTCTCACAGGCCAGCCTGGAAATTCTTTTGCTTACAGTTTTCTCTAATAAAATACTTTCATTTATTCAGCAAACATTTATTAAGTGTGTAGCTATGTGCAATGCACTGTTTTGGGTGTAACTATGAACATTACAAGTAGCTTTTTTCTTTTAGGTGCTTAGAAAGACAGGGCATGTATGCAACTAACCATCACCCAGAATCATTATAGTTTTAGCCATTAGAATTTCAAAAAGTGGGGGCTCACACATGACGTGGGTCGCACAGAAAGATTTAAAATGCATAATGGCCTGTGCTTGAATGTTTAGGTAGTCAGATGAAAATGTGTGAGCCACAAGGTTTTGTCTTATTACCATTACCTTTTGTGTGTGTGTATGTGCCAGTAGTGGGACTTGAATTCAGGGCCACATGATCTCCCTTAGCATTTTCTGCTCAAGGCTAGTACTTTCCCACTTGAGCCCACAAGTCTACTTCTGGCTTTTTGCTGGTTAACTGAAGATAGGGAAATATGAGGCTTCAAACCCTGATCCTCAGATCTCAGCCTTCTGAGTAGCTAGGGTTACAGGTGTGAGTCACCAGCACCCAGCTTCCATTACTTCTTATACTTAACACTTCAATGTTTTGAGAAAATAATCCATGGTGTAAACCATGACATAAATACCACAAGCTGCATCTTATCACTGATCTTGATAATGTCTAGGAGGCTGGGGGTGAGCTCAGTGGTAGAACATACACTTACCATACAGGTTCCACCTCCTGCACCAAAAGAAAAGGAGGCATTTAATGCTATAGAACTTTTCATTGTAACGTAATAAAACGGAATCTTGCATTTATTGAGTGAGCATAGTGACATAGTTATTTTCTGCTCTTTCTTTTCTTCTCTATCTCAGGAAAAGCTGATACAGTCACTTAGTAAAAAAATCAACCAAGTGTACACTATGTGCATTGGAGAAGCTGAGGTTGGCAGCATGACAGCAGTTCAGAAACTGGTCAAAGTAGAGAATCGCCTGGTGGAACTGAGTGATCTCATCGAGTCCATTCCCAAAGAAAATATGGAGGCGATTGAGAGGATAAAGCAGAAGGAGAGACGGCAAAAGTACTGTCAATGTCTTTTCATAGAAGTGTAGTGAATGACCTCATGCGCGGCTGCTTTAGCCTGGATTCCACCTTGAGCAGTTGTTGGATGGCCAGGACTGCCATAGTGGGAGGTGGTGGTGCTCTCCTCAGAGGGCTGTTCTTTAGTATGTGCTCATCAAATGTTCTTAGAAAAGAATGTGCTATTTATTACCATTGATAACCAACACAGTATAGGAAAAGAGCTAGGTGAATTCACCCTTTAGCCTGGTAACATAAATCTTCAGTGTGAACTCTCATTATAGCAACATTTTTGAATAGCTAGCACATAAAAGGACTGCACTTACGTTCAGTGTCCTGAAGCATAGCATCAGGAGCGCTTCATTGGGAAACATAGGGAGGCCCCCTTCTATGAAAGAACTCCTAAAAGGGGCTGGGAAGGTGGCTCAGTGGTAGAACGCTTGCCTTGCATGCCGGAGGCCCTGGGTTCGATTCCTCAGCACCACATAAGCAGAAAAAGCCAGAGGTGGCACTGTGGCTCAAGTGGTAGAGTGCTAGCCTTGAGCTGAAGAGCTGAGGGACAGCGCCCAGGCCCAGAGTTCAGGCCCCACAACCAGACCCCAAAAAACAAAATTCCTAAGAGTCAGAGCCACACAAGGAGGTGCCAAACTGGCAACACTGATAGAGCATTTACTCACTGACTCTTACTCCTCAAGACAATCTCCTGAGGGTCATCATCCCTTAAACCCCATCCCACACCTCATCAGGGTCTTTTAGAATACACTGGTATCTAGATTTCTACAAGTCAAACAAAGGCATTATGTATCTTGTTTGGAACAATGATTATCATAAATATAATCACTAGAACAAGGTGGTGTACAGGTCAAGTTTTGAAGTGGGATGTCTAGGCTTTAGCAAAAAACATGATAGGGGGCAGGATAGTACAGCTGCAAGCATGGACATAAAACCTGCCTATTGGGCTCAACTATTTACTATTTTGGGAGACTTCAGGTAGGTGGCATAAGGCAGGCCATTCCATTGATCTGTTAAATGGCAGTGATAATGGTATTTATCCCACAGTATTGTTGTGAGGAGTAAATTAATCCATGTAGAGCTGGGCGCCGGTGGCTTGCACCTGTAACCCTAGCTACTTAGGAGGCTGGGATCTGAGGATGGCAGTTCAAAGCCAGCCCAGGCATGAAAGTCCATGAGACTCTTATCTCCAATAAACCACTTAGAAAATCAGAAGTGGCACTGTGCTTCAAGTGGTAGAGCACTCACTTGCCTTGAGCTGAAGAGCTGAGGGATAGCACCCAGGCTGAGTTCAAGCCCCATGACTGACCAAAAAAAAAAAAAAATTAATCCATGTAAAAGCAGGGAGGGAACCACTCAGCACATAGTAAAGTCTGAGATACTAGCCACTGTTTGTTACTTCTTTACTATATTATTATTGGGGATAGTTTCTCCCATATATTGTAGAAATGAAATCAGAATATATTAAGATCTGATGAAATTCTATTGAATATAAAACAAACTTAAAAAAGAATATCTGGAAGAGGATTGTTCTCTTCATAAAAGTGTCCTCAGTATACTGACTTGCATTAAAAATGTGGATATGGGTCTGGGTATGGGTACTCAAAAAACTGGAAGGGCTGGGCACTGGTGGCTCACGCCTGTAATCCTAGCTACTCAGGAGGCTGAGGATTGCAGTTCAAAGCCAGCCCAGGCAAGAAAGTCCATGAGACTCCAATTAACCACCAGAAAATGGGAAGTGGAGCTGTGGCTTAAGTGGTAGAGCTTTTTCCTTGATATGAAGAGTTGAAGCTCCATGACCAACAACAATAACAACAACAACAAAAACTGAAAGGGTCACAGCTTAAAGGTAGCTCTGGGCAAAAGCTAGTAGGACACCTCACCCTATCTTAAGCTGGACATGGTGGCATATACCTGTGATCCCAGCTACAGAGAGTACAGGTAGGATAGCAATCTTGAGGCTGGCCCCTAGCAGAAACATGAGATCCTATCTGAAAAACAGAACTAAACCCAAAGGGGGCCCAGGGGCATGGCCCAAGTGGTAGTAATAGAACACCTACCTAGCAAGCTATGAGCCTCTGAGTTCTAGACACAGTACTACTAAAAAAAAAAAAAGCTTTGGTTCCCCCCACCCCACCCCACCCTTTATAACTTTTATACTGAAGACATAATAATAAAGGACCATAGAATAGCTATTCTGCACCAAATCTTATACTAGATAATTTGCATCAATTATTTTTTCCCTTACAACATCCCTAAAAAAGACTACTTGAACTTATTGAAATTTAGGATATCATTCAAAAAGATGAGCTGTATATTTTGCTGGAAATGCATTGTGCTACACACTTGTGATTTTTCTGTTACTTTTAAAGAAGTTTAAAAACATATATTTCACCACACACACAGGTATGTATAAAATAACTGAAAGTTAATATGGTACAGAAAATGCTAGGTTGCGAGTGAAAAGACTTGCTCATACTTTTGACTAACGTGTGGGTGTATTTTTCTTCCAAAATGATACTGAACCTCCTTCCCATTTCCAAGTGGGATTGTTATAGAAGACCCTACATTTAGATAGGTCGTTATCAAATATGAATGATGCAGACTCTTTAAATTTCTGTGGATTAGCCGGGCGCTGGTGGCTCATGCCTGTAATCCTAGCTACTCAGGAGGCTGAGATCTGAGGATCGCGGTTCAAAGCCAGCCCGGGCAGGAGAGACCA